CTTAAATTCCTTTTTCTTCTTTTCAGGGAGCTTGACATTTAGTCTTTTTTTTCAAATGAAATTTCAAGTAGTATTTCTTGTCACTTTGTCCTTTTTTACTGTCAAAGACATCTTCAAAGATTTCATAAGTCCTTCCTGAGCATCAAGAAAAAAGAAAATTTCCAAAATACTCTTCTGCTTTATCATCTGGATATTGCCAAAAATAATTTCTGTTGTGAATTTCGGCTTTATAAAGAACTCTTTATAATTTGGGCTTTATAAAGAACTCTTTGTCTCCAGGCTTAAGATAAACTAAATCATCCAGCCCTCCATCCAAATCCAGATCTCATTCCAGTTTCATGTTCTGAAGATTCCCTTACTTCACATTGTATAATATCATCAATATTCTTATTTTCAATATCCAATTTTGTTTGCAAATCAAAATCACTATCAAATCTGTCTAATTTTTTCTCAAAGGCTTCAAATTTAGTTTCTATCACTTGTAGAATAATAGTAGTGAAATCTTCCAGTTGATGTGTGTCTCTTTAAATTCCCTTTGCTGAATTCCAGCCATAATGTACAGTGCACACAAGGGGGGAAAAGGGTAAAAAGCAAGGTCTTAGAGTACTTTTGTTTACAAAGCTCCACCAGTCAGCATCACAGCAAAATGAAAAAAGCAGCTTTCCCACAAAAATCTTTAACCAGCAATCTCATGCATCCCCAAAGCCTTCCCCACCCCCGAGCAGCAATTTCGGAGGGAACAGATAATGGAAACAGGTCATTGTAAATTGAAGATAAAGGAGATCAGCAGTACATGAAGGAGCAGCAACTCCATCCCCAAAAATTGACTTACCAGCGAGAAACCTGCTTGGCTGGAGTTGCATTGAAGCTGTAAAGTGGACGCATAACTTTATCTGCCGAGATGACCCCACCAATGAGATAATCGCCTGGCCTGACATGATATATCCAGTCTAGTGGATTTCGCCATGAAGTCAACAGGCACTTTGCCTTCAGCATCTTGCAGGTTATCTGGGGAAGCAGAAGCAGAAAAAGGAGGAGAATCATTCCTTGCATATCTGGCCCATCTATTAGCTACTCCCAAGCAGTTAGGAACCGGATTAGAAGCAGCCCAAGTCTGAGGCTTTGGTGGCTCTCCTAATGTAAAGTGAACCTGGAAAAGATTTATGTCTGAAGAGGATCTTAGGAAAGAAATCCTTCTTGTGTGCCCTATCTTCAACTTGAGTTCTCACTGATGCATTGATAGTGCGGTAGTTTGAGACTCAGGGCCAAGATGTCATCCTGTGTTCCTCTCCATTCTGTTTATGTCAAAGCAGTCGTAAGAAAAGACCCTGGAGAGTCATTAAGAAGACAATGCAAATCACCATCATACTGGAAATTTCAACTCTGTGACATCCCAAATTTGCTCTGTGTTAGGATGTGCAGCCAAAGAAAACATGTTTTCCAAAGATCCCAGATGTTGCTCTCTTATCTCTGATGTTTTTCAGAAGGCAGAGATTTTAACTAACTTTTCACCACACAGAAGGATTCTGAAGCAATGGAGGAAAGAGGCATTTTACGATAGTTGACCTCAAAGGTCTGAGTGATTTGGACAATAATAGATTAATATTTATTTCATTATTGTATTTATTAACTTTCTGAAGTGTCCAATAGCTAAAGCTCTTTGGGCAGATTATAATAAAACACATTTTCAAAAATACAATTTGAGTAAAATCACCTATTATTCAGTCAAATTAAATACAAAATAGAAACACCATATAATCTGGGCAACAGCATGGTCATTCAAAATCGTAATACGAGTTAAAATACAATTAAAAGTCAATTAAACACCCTGGGGAAAATAGGACAGTCTTCACCTTGTACTGAAATGATGCTCATGTGGGCACCTGTCAGCCCTCTCTGGGGAGGAAAGTCCATAAATGGGGTGCTGCCATCATAGAAAAGGCTTTCCACATTTTAGAGGCCTACCTCTCCAGGAGCAGAGCCTCATTAGATTATTTTAAAATCTGGATAGGTAAATGTGGGAGAAAGTGCTCCTCCAGGTAACCTGTTCCTAAACCATTTAGAAGTTCAATGTTTGAAACCAGCACTTCGATTTTTGTCTGCAAATGGATTTCCAGCCAGTGTAGATGGTGAAGACTTGGCATAATATGTTTGTATTGGCCAGTCCCAGGGAGCAGTGTGGCCACTCACAAACAGTATCTCCATATTGTTTGGATTGTCCCTCAATTTATTGTCCCTCATTCAGTCAATTTCTCTCGCTTAGATGTTGGTTTATCTTGGTTACATGAAATGGGGAGGTAGAGGCAAGTCCCATCTGCATATTGATGGCACCTCAGCCCACATCCCCAGATTACCTCTCTCAGCAGTTGTTAAAGAGGATAGGAAATAAAGCTCTGAGGAACTCCAGAACCCCTCTTCCACATATGGAGTTACATTAAATCATGGCAAAATGTAAGCAACCTTATCTTACACTGCATACCTACAGGCCCATATTTAGGCCTACACTCTGCTGGTAAGAAAAGCACAGTGGGCTTACTTTTCCTTCCTTATTGCATTGGACAGTTGCTATCCAGCAGCCTTGTATAAGGTGTTTAAATTCTGTTTGGGGAGAAAACTGTCCTACAATCCCTTACCTGGCCACTATGACCAGTTTGCACAGCATTTTGCTGACAAAGTCACTTGATGTCACTGTAGCCTTGACTCTTCCTGGACAGAGACTTTAGGAGTGATTAGACCATTCTCTTCCCTTGTTATCCAGGGCTTTCCATTTTTGGCCTCTGAAGATAGTGTGCTGTCTCAGTTGTCTCCTGCCACTGCTGGTTGTATCACTGCCCCTCCCAGTTGTATAGGAAACTGGAGTAGTGACAACCACTTGGCTCTGGACAATTCTCAGTGCCTTGTTCCAGAAAAGGCAACTGCAGGCAGCCTGAAAAAGGCTGTGGTGCATCCCCTCCTGAAGATGCCATTGCTGGACTCGGTGAGGTTAGACAACTACTGACCGGTCTCTGGTCTCCAACCTGTCCTTTTGGGAAAAGGTAGTTCAGCTGCTGGTGATAGACCACCTTCACAGCAATCTAGACAGTGAATGATCCAGAATCAGGGTTCAGGTTCATTTCTGGGAAAGAGAGGGCATTGATCACTCTCCTAGATGAACTGCATGGGCAAAGTGTGCCACTCCTAGTCCTGATGGATCTGTCTGCAGCTTTGATACCACCAGCCATCGTATTCTTTTCCACCACCTGTGATATTTGGGGTTTAGAGATGTTGTGTTGCAATGGTTCCATGCCTTCCTTAGTAGGTAGTGTTGGTGCAGGAGGTAAATGTTCCCTGACTTGTTGGCTGCTGCAGGGTTGGTCTTATCTCCCCTGCTTTGAACATGTATATGAATTCATGGGGAGGCATCATTCCACATTTTGGGATATAGTATCATCAATATGCTTATGATACCTGATTTTATATCACTACTCCAGGCCATAGGAGAGATGCTGTAGGCTCCCTTTCCCAGTGTCTGGAGACTATTTGGGTCTGGATGGGAAATCAGAGTTGTTGAAACGTCAGGGTCCTCTTTCAGCACCAGATTTTCTCCTTAATAGGCAAGTACTACCTATCATAGAGGAGGTTCATGACCTGGGGTTTCTTCTGGACACATGGCTCCTGCTGGATTCAGAGATGGAAGCAAGGGACACAGGGTCCTACCCCCAACTGTGCTTGGTACGCCACTTGAAACCTTAGCTGGGGCAAGAACACTTGGCAGAGCAACTCATGCCATAATGGCCACCTACTTAGCCTTCTGTAATACTCACTACTTGGGGTCGCCCTTAAAGAATATTCGGAAACTGCAGTTAATTCAAAGCAAACTTTTGGGCTGCCAAGTTTGGGAGCACCAGTTTAGGAGATATTTCATTGGTTGCCAATTGGTTTCTGGGTCCCCTTTAGGATGTTGGCTTTGACCTATAAAGCCCTTCATGGCTTGGCACTCAGATCCCTATAGGACCATCTTCTCAAGCCAGTATTGGCCTGACCAGTTAGACCTACCAGGGAGAAAAGGTTGCAAATCCCACACTTTTGAGAGGTGCCTTTCCTGTGGCAGCATCACTATTTTGGAACAACCTCTCTGTGCAGGTCAGGCAGCCTCCCTTCTTGCTGTTCTTTCAAAAGCTCCTGAAGGCCTAGGTGTTTTGGGTAGCCTTCCCCTCATTTGACTTGATGTGATTTGATGTTGCTCTCTTTTTCTTTTCTTGGCATTGTTCTATTGCTATCCTGAACAGGTAAAAAATACTTCTCGCTACTGTGGAGATTGTGTCTCCAATGAAAATTTTTAGGAGCTATCACAATGGAACATAACATTGAGTTTTAAAAACAGCTTTGCTTGCAACCACATATATAGTACAGTGGGTACAAAGCTTGATTTGACCCTAAATTGGGTCAAATTTAATAATAGGCTGGACCTATTAGATCAGTCCACCCCCGGCAACTAATGGACCCGGATGGGTTCCAGAGGTAGCTGGGGGTTGTTCCTGTTGGTCTGCTGCACGGTCCATCTGAAGCCTTGGTAGCCACTTGGAATAAAGGGGTGGCTGAGGCTTTGGATCAGATCGTGCCCATGCGACCTCTCTCCTCTCGGGGATCCTGGCACTCTCCGTGCTTTACGGAAGAGCTTCAGAAGAGGAAGTGAGAGAAGAGACGTCTAGAGCATTGCTGGAGCTTGACAAGGGATGAACCCGACCAAGCATGGGTTACAGCAGCTTCTCATGCCTACTTAGTGGCGATACAGGCGGCGAACTGTCGTTACTCCTCCACTCTTGGTGCATCTGCAGATAGCCACCCCACAGCCCTGTTTCAGGTGACATGAGCCCTCCTGGTAAGGATGGCTCGGAGAACCTTCTGCAGGGACATGCAGAGGAATTTTCTTAGTATATGTCGGATAAAATTGCTCGGATTCATTCTCAGTTGGACACTGGCTTTACTGCAGGTCCAGTGGAGGTGCCTAGGGAGGA